TCATTGGAAAACGGGGAGAGTGGTCCCACTGCTGAAGACGGGGAAGTCAGGTAACAAATGAGAATCTTATCGCTCGATAACGCTCTTTTTCCTGGTCGCTAAGAAATTTAAGACCCTGCTACTCCCGCACTTCACCTACCACCTGACCTCAGCGAAGCATCAGCATGGTTTCCGTAACGTGCACAGAACTTAACGTCATGAACACTGAAATAACCCGTGGCCTTAACCGCATCCGCCCCTGTGAGAGAACAGTCTTAGTAGCGTTTGACATGTCAGAGGCGTTTGACACCGTTTGTCATTCCACGCAATAAGAAGACATCGAGGCTTCCCCTCTCCTACAGAGCACACAAACGGTGGTCGGCTAACTATATGAGTGATCGGCAGTCGTCAGTAACCTTTCGAGATCAAACCCTAAAACTTCGAACAATTTTGCAATGGGATACACTAGCTGGTGTCCTCTCTCCCTTGCTATTTAGCTTCTATATCTCAAAGTTTCCCCTGCCCCCGGAGGGAATTTCCCTGATTTCATATGTTGACGGCTGTTCGAAATTAAAATACTAAGCGAGCAGTTTCGGTGAAATGTCACAGGCCTATGAATGCCGTGATAGGAACCCAATCTCCACCTGTTGCAGACTCGGAGTTTCGATACTCTGGCCCAATTGTAGCCGTCTTAACAGATATTTGTCTGGACTCGACCGCAAAATCACCAATGAGTGTCCGGCATGTGGAGCCTACCCCCACGACACCAACCACCCCTTTATATGTCAGTTAAATCCTACTCAGCTAACACCCCTCACCCTTTTGGTCTGACCCCGTAGAAACAGCTCATTTCTTGGGCCTTCCGTTATTTGAGCTTGGCGACAACGATTGATGCACAAACCGACCAAGGCGGGGCTTATTCGTACCGCTACAACAACAACAAAACCAAGGATATTTCATGCGTTGTTGGATGTGCCATGGAAGCAGCTCTTCTCCTGGCTGCCTCCGAACATGTTTTATTGCGCCAGTGTTCCTCTAGACTTAACAAAATTTCACTCTTGAGTCCATCACTTTTTTGTAACTCACTTTTTTGTATAGTACAGGGACCGTATAAAAAAATCATCATTCAACCGTTATTTTCAGATTATATTTTTTAGATCATAAAAAATATAAGTCGGTCCCAGTTGCATAAAAACGCTTAAAAATGATTTATTTGATTACGAAATTGTTTTCAATGAAAAAAAAAATAAATAAAAATCAAAAAATAACGATCAAATTGATCGAAAAAATAAAAATCGAAAAATGCTCTAAAAATAAAAATCTGGACATTTAACAGCTAAAAAAATCCAATGAATGACTAGTGAAAACATGGATATTGAACTTACCAGCACTAAAATTCAAAAAAAAAAATCATTAGTGGTATTCACCAATTTGAGCAAGTGGTCTGGACCTATGGCAAAATAGCAGATGAGCTCAGCAACGACAGTTGACAACAGACCTTAGTTGCGTAAATAAGGCATTTCCATCAAATGTAGTTTAGAAATAAAAGAGACTGAAGCTTTGGCTTGATGCGTTTCCGAACACACCCTGTATACATTTGTATGTATTTATATGGCTGTGGTTCTTCTATTCTGTAATTGCAAGATACCGCCCTACTTGATTTGATTCAATTGAATACTGCATACTTTTACACCGGTAAATGAGTAATATAAAAGAATTTAACATATTTTAAAATTTTCCACTTCCAGACTGTTCGTTAATGCTAAGTATATATGTATGTATGTACACATTTAAAAGGATAACACCACTGACGGAAGTCTTTGCCATTTAAAATTGACACTATAGCGCGGCTGATTCTTAAGCAATGCCGGTATTTCCTTTCAAGTGGGCAGAATGGCCTGCGAACGTTCGTGCAATAAATTCATAAACAACGTGTGGAACTACGCACTTTTCCATACGCACTTAAAATTCTACTTCATTATTACAACATAAAATCACTTAAACAAATTGACAATCAACGAAAAACTTTAGCGCGTCACTAACAAATCGCAAACACTCAAGATACTGAAATAAAAATCAGTTCACAATAGTGCAGCTCACAATAAATTGCCGCTGCAAATATTTAAAGAAAAACCTTTAAGAAGAGTATTTAACTGACTTTTTATTTTTTGCAGAATTAACTTGTATCGCTAAAACTGAATTAGCTAACTTTTAAAGTTTTGTGAGTTGCAAGACTTTTATACATAATTTAACTTTACATTACCATTGTGAATTAGAACGAAAGAATAGAAGGAGAACGGAAACTAACTTTAGTGAGGAAGCGCTTACTTCGTACGTTAACAAGATGGCTACTAAATTGTAGCAAAATGGCCATTTGATTTTTTTGCTTTTTTGATCTAATTTTCTTTTGATTTATAGATTTTATTGATTTAAAAAGGATATTTTTTTATTTATTTTAAATAAATTGTTTGCTAAAGGACAGGCCAATTCTGGCATTTGTGTTTCAACTCACCTCAGTCTTTCAAGAGACAAAAGTCTTTACATTTCGGCAACTATCTTGAAAGCCCTTTTCTGTATTTCGAATATTTAATTGAAAGATGTGCTAATAGTGTTATCATATTTATCGTTTAGCAATAAGTTTTATAAAAACTAAACGAAAAAAATATATATATTTTTTTAAAACAGAAAAAACTAACAATTTGAGAAACTGAAAGTGAAAGAAAAAAGATGAATCAAAAAAGTTTCTAAACGTTAAATAAAATAAAAAAAATATGAATTTTTTAAGCAATAAAACTTAAAAAAAAAATTGTATTAAAAAAATTTGTTGCCGAGGATTGAACACGGATCTCTTGAATGGCTGAGAACCGCCTTACAGAAATTTGACATAATAAAATTTCTTCGCCATTTCTTCGGCCTTTTTTATATGGAGTTTTTGTTTTACGTAAGGTTTGATACTAATGGCCTTATTCATAAAAAATGAGGTAAGTTTAAAGAGCTTTATACATTGACGTGTTTAAACATTTTTGAATTTATAAACTTTTTACAAAGATACTTTATTTTTTATGAATAAAGCCATAAGCTTTTACGTACACATAGTACATTGTTTTAATTTTTTTTCCAAATAACTTGCCATTAAATTTGCAAATCAAGTTCACACATTTAAATCACAGATACCTAAAAATATTTGCATGCCAATAAACATACATATACAAATTTTACACTTAAGATTATTTCCTTAAGTAGTGGGTTCACAGTGCTGAATTATGTAAGTTTAATATACAAATTTTTGTGAAATTAATTATTCTAGAACTTATACTACGCTCGCGGTTTGAATCTTATACATACATACATATTTATGTATGGGGCAGTATGTCATTAGTGGCTATGTTGGGACCGTTTATGACTTGTACGACTCAATGATTTCGTTTATACTCGCTGCAGCGCCAGCAACCAGAGCACATATCGCAAATAAGCTTAACAGTAAATTCTTGTACAGTTTCCATTTGCACCAACCCAAGCGATCTGGCCACAAATGCACTGTTTCACAAACGCTGGGCACAAAAAAACCTGCAATATGAAGTATATAGTATGTACAAATGTTTTACTACAAATTTGCTGTACTTTTCACAAAACATACCCAATAGTGAGAGGAAGACCGCACCCACAAGACTAATGAATGGCTCCAGGTTCGGTATAGCAGCAGCTATCGCACCACTAATTAATATAATACAAGTGCGCAGGATTATCTGTGTAATGTTGTGATTTTTTTCATTGAACTTATGACTTATATTTTTCCAGAGCGTATCTATTGGAATATAAAATACCAGACCATAAGCACAAATCGAGGCAACGGCTATCAGCAGTTTTGCAATGTCGGCCAAACTAAAAAAAAATAATAAGACAAATATAGGAGATTCTAATTATTAAGTAATTTAAATGTCATCAGTTCTATTTGTGTTTACATTGTGCCTTCCTTCAAGTTCAAGGTAATGCTGCCGCGCACTTCACTGCCATAACGTGCATAACCGAGGAAACCGATAGTCG